TGCGCAGACTCGGGCTCCAAACGAATCTCTACTGCGCAGACTCGGGCTCCAAATGACGTCATTTACTCAAGATGGCAGCGGCCATACCGAGATGCTTTGGCTTCACTTTTCTATAGTGGAAGGAATAGGAGACGTGTCGTCCATCTTTTTTTACAGTCTATAATAGGGATATTTTATCTCTCTTATTCCTATACACTACCGCTTAACACTTTGGGGTCGGTAAGATTTTTTAATTTATTCTCTCATCCTCACCAAGTCTGCATTTATTTGGGTTTATTTTGGGGTTTTCTATTTGAAAATATTTAAAAATGTAATTTATTTTTGTTATTAATTTTTTTTGCACCCGTTACTCCAGTCTTTAGTGTCAGATTTTCCTTCAGAAGTCATTATAATATGCTGATTTGCTGCTCAAGAAACATTTATTATTATTATCCATGTTGAAAACAGTTGTGCTGTGAAGCCTTTTTTTCAGGATTGCGTTATTTAACAATTATTGCAGGTTTACGTCACATTCTGAGTTTGCATTTCACCATTTTTGTGCAATTCTAGGAATACTGAATCTGTTTTTGTGCAAGTGAGATGAGTAAATGCATGTTGACATTTAGAATAGGACTACAATAACTATCATGCTTACACAAGCGCACAAAACGCCTCTGCAATTACTCCCGATTTCTCTCAACATGGAAACAAGAGAGGTCTCAATCAATAAATGGAAAACAAACTAACTTGTGTTATTTATTTGAAAAAGTAACGCAGATATTTTGTTGTGAAGTTAAAAGTAATGTGTTACTTTACTAGTTACTTTTAAAAAAGTAATCTGATTACGTAACTCGAGTTACTTGTAATGCGTTACCCCAACACTGTAGAAACCACATAGCACTGCTCTAGAACCTCTCCTTACATCCACGCAACTGCTTAGCAGCATGCTTTCGACCTTTCTAATGCATATCAATGCCTTAGCAAGGCACAGAACACCATGGGAACCACCCAGCCATGCTCTAGCGACCACCTTAGCAGCGCTCATGGAAAAATCTAGTCTTTCAACCTCTGTTTTGTTCAAAGCATGTGATCCTACTGACTGAATTGCTTTATTAATGGAGAGATGAATTTGGACTGAGCATTTGGTATTTGTATGTCAGCAGCTCTATGGGGAACAGGCAGTGTGAGGGTGGAGATTAAAGCGGCAGGGCGAGCGGGGGGGCAAACTGCCTGCTAGAGTCAGAATGCTGACTGGCTTCCTGAATATGAGGCTGGGAGCACATTCCTTGCACTGCCCTCCGCTAATCAAATACTCATGTGTCTCCATACGCACAACACCCAGCACCTGTAGTACAGAGCAGAATAACAGCAGCTAGATAAGATATCTTACTCTATACATGAAGGATAACACCCATTTACAGTGGGGTAAGATGTGCAAGAGACATTTCAGGTTAAATGGTTTTTAAATGGTATTTCAATGGCTTTTTCTGTTCTATGCCTTTCCAGTCATCAGAGCCAAAGTGGTTGGACAGAAGGAGGTGGTCACTGGTAATGATGCCTATGGCTATCCAATCAAAATGATCCGATATGACATCAAACAGATAAAGGTTAGTGGAGAATCCTATCCACCACTTTCAATCCTGCACTGATTTTATTTTCCTGAAGCCAAACACAAAACTAGTGCTATGTTATTATGGAATTACCATGATTATGACATGTATACTGTTACTGCGACATAGCCTCATTAGAAAAACATTTGTCCAAAACTCCAAAAACGTACCTGTACATATAATTCAATGCAGTTTCCAGCTCAAATGAACACTAGTGGCAGTAAAACACCAACAAGTTTCAATCGTATTCAAACAAATTATGATTACACGTGCAGATTATTGATTAATAAAGACTTATTTTTGCACAGTACCTTACATAATACAAGGGTATGACCTCAAAAGACTTTTACCACAGTGCATGAATTGTAAACGAATACATTTGGACCTTTACATCACATAACCAGCTCCATATGTATGGCTTCTCTGACAAAGTAAACTTGCTCAAAAGCTCACCCGGTACAGCATTGCATTTAATGGCGCTTTTCCACTGCGTGGTACGGCACGGCTCAGTATGGCTCAGTATGGCATGGCACGGCTAGGTTTGCGTTTCCACTGCAGTTTAGTACCGCTGCAATTTCAGTGACGCAGGTAGTGACGATTCTCTCCGGCCAATCCGTGATCAGCAGAGTTTACACGTCACGTTTTGGTAACGGGACGGGTCGCTGGGACCCTCAACCGAGGTGGTACTGAAAAAAGTACCAGGTACCAAGTACTGTACCCAGTGGAAAACCCCCCAAAAGTGAACCGTACCGTGCCGTACCATGCAGTGGAAAAGCGCCATAAGATGCGAAACGCTTAGGTATGGACACGAGTCACAAATAAAGACCTCAAATACTTGTAGAAGCAAGCTAAAATAGCATGGTTGTGTGTTTGCTTTTGTTAACACTATCAGTTAGGTTTAGTGTAGGGTTTAGTTTAGGTGGTACGCCATTTACAAACGCGGTTAAACTTTTAGCGCCACTGCCGCGATACATACAACTATTTTAATAAAACGTTGCCAGATTCAAGTTTATCTGTAAAAAACTAAACAGCTTTTAGGCTTTTAGCACTACTCACTAGACATTTCACTTTGAAAGTGTCACAAAATGTGCAATAAGCAACCTAATATCATTTTGCCACAGGCACGTTTTTCTAATAAGCCTAGCTTGCCAAAAATGAATCTTTGATCGACTTTGTTGCTAATGTTATCAGAATGCTACATAAAAAAAATAGCTACATAAATTCTTCATACGTATGTAATATCTTTATATTATAAATTTACCTTATTATTTTCTTTGCAAAATACTGAAAAACAAAGACGGCATACCAAATATAATTTGTAATTATTAGCGCCATAAAGACGTTAACTGTTCTTACAAATCGCAATCTTTCATTGACTGTAATTCTGAGACACGAAAACAGAATGTTTACAATATTAAACCAAACGAAAAAGCCAAGACAGTTTCTTGACTTCTTCATGCCATCTTCTTTCACTAGATGTTTAAGGGTCCTGACGGAGATATTGATGCCATCTTCACGGGCCCCTCATCAGCTTTGTGCGGGGTCAATCTCGAGAGCAGTGGCCAAAAGGAATACCTGATTACTGGTAAGAGTCAATTAACATGTTGTGAAAAATAGTGTTCGAGAAACAGCATTTGCTTCTGTAAACTGTAGAAACTTCAGTGGCACCTTTATACCAACACCATCTCTTTAATCTGCACAGGTAATATGGATTCAAATGGCACATTGCGTATAAATCTTTGCGACTACATTGAATCTTGGGAGTCTCTGAGTCTGACACAGAAAATTAGCTTGGGTCAGCGCTACCAGATGGGATGTGATTGCAAGGTATTGCTATCTATCTATCCATCCATCCATCCATCCATCGCTCTTCTGTCTTCACGTTCTCACAGCTCTTCTCTTGTCTTTGTGCAGGTCATCCAGTGTCCTACGATTCCCTGTTCCATTAACGACCCCACAGAGTGTCTTTGGACTGACTGGGTGCTGGAGGGAACAGTTCAGGGTACACAGGCTCAGCACTACACCTGCATTAAGAGGAGTGACAGCAGCTGTGCCTGGTACCGTGGATCTACCCCACCTAAAAGAGAGTTCATGGACATTGAGGACCCATAAACAAGTCCTCAGCTCGATCTCTCATTCAGAAAATCCCCCACAACACAGCTTACCTGACCTTAAACTCACACCTTAATTCTGCAAATGCATTCTAGAGCTCATGAAACCTGTCAAGACCACGTTTGGGCCATTATAGTGTCAACGCAAATTCAAAAGAAAAAAGATATAATATGGTAATATTTTTGTATGAATGAATGAATTAAAACAAAAATAATGAATCATATTTTGCATAGAGAAAATAAAGTTTAAAAGATCATAAAAATGCCAGTCGTCCAGTTTTCATTATGGTATTACAAATATATATTCTCATTATTGTATTGCAGTATTTAGATCATAGAGAATGAGAATTACAAACAAACTAATAAAGTGTAAACATCCAGACATGCTATGATGGGATGGGGAATATGCTGGAAATATAATGTTCTATATTTTCCTTTTGATTTTAGGGTGAATTGTGGTGCAGAAATGTATGTGTGATATTTTCCAAGGCATGACAGAATTCATACATTTGGTTGCATGTTAATATATGAATTGAATCTTACCTCTAGTGTTGAAATGACAGGCAGAAAAGTTTCTCTTAAGCACTTTGAGAACCCAAGTGTTTTTTTGCTAGATTTTTGCTCTCCAATAAAGAGGAAATTGGTTACAACATTGTTTTTCAGTTCCTCAAGCACAGCTTGAGCAAAGAGTTTTTCATCTTTTATGCTGTCAATTTTATTCTTACAGTGTAAAGCAGAAAGACTGAAGTAATTGTGCCATAAAGATATATGGGACAGATGATTAGAAGGCTTTGCAGACAAGCTAGTTTGTCAAATTTCTGGAGAAATTGCCATCATAATGAAAAACAATTATCTTTTATAATTTGAGATAAACTACCAGGCAAAATTTTGGACACGCTTGACTAAATTTGTGTTTCTCTGCTTAAATTTAAATAAATTTTACACCCAACACACAACAATTATCTTTTATAATTTGAGATAAACTACCAGGCAAAATTTTGGACACGCTTGACTAAATTTGTGTTTCTCTGCTTAAATTTAAATAAATTTTACACCCAACACACACACACACATATATATATACAGTATATATATATATATATATATATATATATATATAACATTGTTTTTTGTCACTACATAATTCCCATACTTTGTATTATTTAATAGTTTTGACTTGACTATTATTCTAAAATGGAGAAAATAGTAATACTAAAGAATTGGTATAATCAGAATTAGTAGGTGTGTCCAGATCTTTGCGTGGTAGTGTACATCAGAAAGTGAATTGAGTTCATGGGTGTCTAAGGAATGTAAATCATAAGTGAGATGTAAATTCTATACTGTACTGTGCATATAGCAACATACATAGATCTGGCAATAATTTATGTATTTTGTAATATATACAGGATTTTCTAATTTATATCAAAACTATTCTGCTTTGAATGTGTCCAGAAATATATGCAGTTGTATGTGCAGAGTTGTTGTTTTAAAGTGGTTAAATTGGTGAATGCTTTTATTTTATGACTCTGCATTCTTCATAGCAAACTACATTTATTAAGAATTATATCTAGTAAGGCTTAGAAATGTTTTAGAGTTTTTTTCCCCCCCATGATATTTTTGTACATTTCTTTCGCTTGCGTTTCATCCCTTTTTGAAGTAGTGTGAGATTTCCAGTGCTGGAACCACTTGGGAAGACTTGTTGAGAGATAGCCTTTGCATGCTTTTTAAAACTTATTGATACCCATTGACTGTTATGATGTTCATGAATAAAGGAGCAGAAATGTCCACTGAACAATTAATATTTTTCAGTATCTGGTCATTAATCATGTACCCCCTCAAATGATGGTGCCCTTGTGAATGACCCTCTTAAAATATAAAGTCAACTATATATTTATGACATTATAAGGACGTGTGCAAAAATGATTTGTGACCCTGGACCACAACACCACAAATTTACAAAATATCTTCATGCAACATGATCTTTACTTAATATCCCATTGATTTTTGGCATAAAAGAAAAATCAATAATTTTGACCCATATGCATTTTTAGCTATTGCTACAAATATACCCCAGCGACTTAAGACTGCTTTTGTGCTCCAGGGTCACATATTATAAATATATTGTCATTGTACAAGACGAAAATTAACTTATTATTATTAAGTTGTGTGTTTTCATAGTGTTTCATTTAAAGTACAGTGATTGTTTTACTGGCATAATCATACATATTTATCATCCTTTGTATAATCTTGTAGCCTATAATGTTCTCACTTATCACAGAATAAGAACATATATAGCATATCAAACATATCAGTTATTACAGTTTTTAAAAGTGGTACTTGAGGCGCGCTCAGTGAAACCATTCACTCATATACCTAATCTTTAGACCAAGTCTGCAAAGCTACAAGCACATTATAGGCCACATGCTTTAAACTCAGTTTGCTATTGTGAAACAAAATTTTTTGCAAAACTCTAAGCTCAGTTCTCTACATTACACACATCATTCAAAACCAACAGCTCTCTTGTTTCATTTGGGAAACACTGCCATTTAAATCCTTTACTGATGACCTACAGCCAGTCATCATGTGTGAAAACATACATAATTTGTTCACTTAGAAATCAAACCTCAGTGTTTTGAGAAATTATTTTTACCCCTTGCATTTCTGTTTACAGTGTGTGTGTGTGTGTGTGTGTGTGTGTATGTATATCTTGACTTGATTATATATTATGTGTGTATACACACACACACACACACACACACACACTGAATATGCATACAAGCAAAGTCAGAATGTCAACTTTATTTCTAAAGCGCTTTATACAATATAGACTGTTTCACAGCAGCTTCACAATAGTTTCAATTTCAAATTCTGCTGTAAAGCAGCACGTCAATAGTGTCATTATACAGCTCAAATCAGCTCTGTATTCAGTTCAGTTGCATAACTGCGTAAAATCCATCAGTTGTACATGCATACTGTATATACAGTGTATATGTGCATATGCATGTATGCGTCGAGTGCTATGACAAACTCATGTGAGAGAGGTGTTTTACATTGTTCACATCTGTGTGTAGTTTGGCGTGCATGTGGCTAATTGTTTTATGTTTGTGTGTTGAGTTACTACGCAAAAATACAATTTTTAGAAGAGTTCAAATAGTTTTGAAAGAAGTGTTTGCTTTTGGCAAGATGTGTGACGTTTGGCAAGTTGTGTGTGTGGTTTGTGGTTTTGTGTGTAGAGTTTTGAGAAACGAAGCCATAGTTTCAAAAACGATGT